AAAATTAGTTTTTCTTTAAAAAAAAAAAAAAAAAAACCCTACTAACCCCAAACTTTTCAATGGTAGTATACAAACGGTTTAAATGTTTTTCCCTCCACACTGTATACACGCATCGCTGAGTTTGTTGTTAGCAACCTCTCTTTAGTCATCTAAAACTCCTCAGTCTGAAACCTTTGTCAATGAAGCATCCATGGATGAACTCCTCGCATAGCAAACCAGACAGCCTAACTCTCTCTCTGTCTCTATCTGTCTTTTTTTTCTGTTCCAGTGGGCACCCCATATTACATGTCTCCCGAGCGAATACACGAAAACGGATATAACTTCAAATCTGACATCTGGTCGCTAGGCTGCCTGCTCTATGAGGTAAGGTATAGAAACCCATCCTATCACTCCCCCTCCTCCGTTTATACACCCCAGCCCTCCCTAACTCTTCCATTCTCTTCCCGAGCTTCTTCCAGTGCTGTTCGTCTCCTTTTGTGAGATGCAATCCTACACCTTGCGGTCTGTCGTGAAAGTTACAATATGGTTTTGTACTCCGAGGTAAATGGTCTCCGCGAAGGATACCTGGAGTATGTTCCCAAGCTGATGAGGAAATTTGAATGACATTTACATGTGTTTTAAATAACATCCACTGCTCTTGCTACGAAATGATACTGACTGCTTTGATTAGGCTTTAATAGCATACGCTTCTCCACGACACAGCGGACCAGGATCCATTAGACTCAGAGCAGCGGTTTTCTCTTCAGCTCGCAGTCTAAATTGAAAATGAAGTTGCAAGGAGGTCAGCTGTGTTTTTTTCCAGCTGTGATAAATGTTTAGACCTTAAAGGGATAGTTACAGGGATAGGGATAGTTTAGTCACCCTCATGTCATTCTGAAACCTTTTTCAATGAAACACGTAAGGCAAATTTTTGAAGAACATTCGTGCCTCTCTTTTCAATATAATGAAAGTGAATGTAGACTGGGGCTGCCAAGCTTCAAATGACAAATAAACACCATAAAAGTGGACTATTTGACTTTATTCCAAGTTTTCTGAAGTCATATGGTAAACTTTAATTAAATTTAAGTTGCTATTCATTAATAATGTTCACCTCCAGTGAGATGTTAGAATTAGGGCAATGATTGGATCAATGAGTCATTGAGAACCAAATCAGTTGGTTTGTGAATGAGTCATTCACATAGTTTTGTGAACTGGTCCAGTTGTTTTTTTTGTTTTTTTAAGATTATTACATTTATTAAAAAGAATGATTCATTCACAAATTAGACATTACTACTTGCTCTCAGAAATAGATCAAGAACAGCTACAAATGTCGGATTTTCAGTGATTAACTACATATTTTGGTCTGTTTAGAAGAACGCAAAGCTTCAGAAAACCATATGAACTATTTTTAGGATACTTTATTGTGCTCTTTTGTTATTTTGAAGCTTGGAAGCCAAAATATCTAAGTGCCGGTGGTAAATGGCCAACAGTGAATCAATATGTTTCTTAAGTTACTGTTTTGTTTTTATTTTGCCCCCCCCCCAATTGATTTTTGCTAATTCTGACCAGTTTGATTCAATATACAGATCGATTAGATTGAACAATAAATTGATTCAGTATTTTTAAAATGTTTTGATAGCAGTGATTCTCAATCTTTTTTATTTCAAGGCCCCCCTTTAGTACTTTTGTTGTAATAAAAATAAACTCAAAATAATGTCAGTTTGTTGTATGTATAAAGGTATAGTTCATTCCAAAAATTGCTCATCCTCATGTCGTTCCAAACCTGTATGAGTTTCTTTCTTATGTTGAACATTGAAAAGAAGATATTTTGAAGAATGCTGGTAATCAAACAGTTGGTGGTCCCCATTGACTTATATAGTGTTTCTTTCCCTACTATGGAAGTAAATAGGGACCAACAACTGTTTGGTTCTTCAAAATATCTTCTTTTGTGTTCAACATAAAGAAACTTATACAGATTTGGAATGACATGAGGATGAGTAAATGATGACAATTTTCATTTTTGGGTGAACAATCCCTTTAATATAACTACATTTAAATAATTTAAAGACTAATAGGCCCCCCCCCCTCATCCGGTTGAAAACCACTGTTTTTATAGGATTCAATAATGTATTTTAGACAAGAAAATAAAGGCAAACTATTTCAAACTGTAGAAAGTAACTGGAAAGGAAAACATTTCCATGGATTCATGAATGCTTCATTCAGAAGTTTCGTTAAATTGAGAAGAAAAAAAAAATAACGACCTGGATATTCTTCAAAAATTCTCATTTTGTGTTCAACGAAAGACAGTCTTTGAAATGACATGAAAGTGAGTAAGTGATGATAGAATCGTAGTTTTCAGGGGAACTGTCCCTTTAAGCATCCAACAGTGTGAGATCTTACATAACAGATCTTGCGAAATCGCAGATCCCTGTTCAAAAGCGGGCATTTTGTGTGTTTCTCTGCGTTTTTTGGCCCTGGTTTCCTCTTAACCAGGTGACTTGGGCCACCTGGAATGGGTAGCAGCAATCCGTAAATGACACAATGCTTGATCCCAGGAGACATACTGGCTACCAAAAACTGGTGTATAAACAAACGCAAGCAGGCGCAAATTCACACTCGCACAGTGTGGAAATAGACACATTGTTAGTCCGGTACCCGTTCTATCCCTTCAATCCCCAGAGTGTGTGTGTGTGTTTTTTTTTTCTTTTGACTCTTTTTTGGGGTGAAGCTTACCAGTAGCTACACCTCCCAAAGTGCCTGGGGCTGAAAAAGAAGTTTCGTTAAATTGAGAAAAAAAAAAAAATAACGACCTGGATATTCTTCAAAAATTCTCATTTTGTGTTCAACGAAAGACAGTTAGTCTTTGAAATGACATGAAAGTGAGTAAGTGATGATAGAATCGTAGTTTTCAGGGGAACTGTCCCTTTAAGCATCCAACAGTGTGAGATCTTACATAACAGATCTTGCGAAATCGCAGATCCCTGTTCAAAAGCGGGCATTTTGTGTGTTTCTCTGCGTTTTTTGGCCCTGGTTTCCTCTTAACCAGGTGACTTGGGCCACCTGGAATGGGTAGCAGCAATCCGTAAATGACACAATGCTTGATCCCAGGAGACATACTGGCTACCAAAAACTGGTGTATAAACAAACGCAAGCAGGCGCAAATTCACACTCGCACAGTGTGGAAATAGACACATTGTTAGTCCGGTACCCGTTCTATCCCTTCAATCCCCAGAGTGTGTGTGTGTGTTTTTTTTTTCTTTTGACTCTTTTTTGGGGTGAAGCTTACCAGTAGCTACACCTCCCAAAGTGCCTGGGGCTGAAAAACAACCATCTGAGTTCACCGCTGCTTGGAGACAGCGTTTCTTGGCACTAATTAGTCTCCCATAATGCACCAGGCCCATCAGTGTGATCAGTCCGCCCTGCTTAGCAGTGGCCATGGGTCAGCCAAGTGCAGGGAGAAGGCAAACGGGGAACAGTTGTGATCTCTTAAGCTTCTGTTAAAGCCAGGTCCGGGCTCGGCCTCGAACAGATCGGCGCTGTCGCCCCTTGGTACACAAAGACTTTCATCTTGTCCCACTTCCAGCAGGTCACGTGACCTAGAGGAGGCGGGGAACTGGGAGGTGATGAATTGACATCTGTTTGAATGACAGATCTGATGATCGGCAAACCCGCCGGCAGTTGCTGTGATGTTACAGTAAAGGAGGACTGTGGACTGTTTTTCTATCGTTATTACAAAGTTTTGAAGTTTTCAGTTGATCATCTCAATGTTTATTACATTTTTTTTAAACTCTAAAAATCAAAAGACAGCGAAGATTTTATATATATTTATGAGTTAGTTGGTGTGTGGTCAACGGCATGCCCTCAAATAAAATTTATAAAAGTTTAAGAAAAAAAAATTTTTTACGATCAAATTACATTTTTCAAGTTTTTGCAATTTGTTTTATTTAATTTGTGATTCAGTCTATATGTGGGTCATTGGTGTATCCTCAATTAAAAAAAATAAATAAATAAATGAAAAATAAGAAGAGTTTCAGAAAAAATGTACAATCAAATTACTTTCAATTTTAAAAATATTTTACATATTTGATTTAATTTGTATGACTTTGTATTTTTAATTTTGTAAACAAAAATGCTATATATATATATATATATATATACATACATACATACACACACACGTTTACAAAATTACAAAGAAATTGTATTCTTTTATTTTTATTTTCCTGATATATATATATATATATAACCTGAACTAATTTAGAAGTTTGTTAAATGTTAATAAGCTGTGAAGCAGGTTTTTTAAGCTTTTGTTCTTCGTTATAATATCAGAACAGCTGTATCTCTCTCTGACATTTTACCCCAGAATATCAAAATGAATTACAATTTAGAAACTAAAAGCATGTTCATTGTAGTAGAGATATATTCAAGCCATTGAATGTATGAAATCAATTTTTAATGCATTTTTGAATAATTTAATAGATGGGACAAAAAGAAAGTTGTGTCATTTCATTGACATTCATTTCATACATATAGGCCCATATATTGTGTATGTCCAGTTTCATTATTTATTTTGGTGTGTGTGTGTGAACATTGTCTTAGTAGACAATCGAAAACTAGCTGCAGTGCTGAACTACTGAATTGGTAATTTGCAGACTTGTGCCATCTTCCATTGATCCTCATTGATCTATTTAGAGTGAGCGGCGGCCGGCGGATTTGACGAAGATGTGGCCAGCGGGCTTGCGGCAACCACATGTGAACAATGCTACAGCGAGAATAAAAGTTACGCCTTCTTTCTTTGCGTGAACATTTGGGCGGCGTTATGCAAATCTTCCCACATCGTGACGTAGACATGTTGGGGGCGTGTTAGAACGAGCCGTTTTAGGTAGGCGTGGTTGACTTCATTTTTATAAAGAATATCTCTTTGGATTTTTTTTTTATTTGAGACTTTAGTCGTTGCAACTTTACAGATCTTCTTTATGCACCAAGAGCTTGTAACACTTCAAAGAGAAAGGAAAAATTGAAATCGCATCATATGACCCCTTTAAAGACAGACCGAGTTCATATAGGTGGATATCAGTGCTCACGCTCTGGCCCAGCCTTTTGAAGTCCTCTTAAACCCTTTCTTAATAGCCGTTCTCGAAGGTGTTTCAGATTTATGTTGGCATAAATAAGAAGCCGAGACTGTTGCATCTCCCTTCATCGCAAAAACACGAGGCCAGGTTTCCTGCTCCAGGTTTTACAATTAAAACTGTGAAGTCACATCTTCTTTTACGACCATGTGTTTTCAGTAGAACGTCGGAGATGAGAACCGAATCGGATTAACAAGAGCGTTAAAAGAAAACAGATTAGCATGCACACCATGCAAGAGGTGTGTTGCATTTTTA